CCTTTTTGGCTTAGAGGGAGAGAGAGAGAGAGAGAGAGAGAGAAGCGGAGACTGGGGGCTGGTGGACTCATCAAGCTGTATGTACTGGACTTTTCTCTTTCCTCTCCCTCTCCGAGCCCGTCTCGAAACCCTCCTCCTCTTCCTCTTCCTCCCCTCCAAGCCCCGGGTTTGCACCGTCTCCTTCCCCGCTCCGAGCTTCTGCCTTGCAAAAAAATGCAGCCGGGCTCCTGGGACAGAGACCCCGGGCAGAGAGGGGAAGCAGGGCATTTCTGCTCCGCGGTGCTGCCTCGTAGGCACCTCTGTCCTGAGACTGCAGGCTTTGGTTCGATTCTTTTGCCTTAAATAGCTTAAAAAAGAAAAAAAAAAGAAAGAAAAAAAAGAAACCTCTCTCTCTCTCTTTTTTCCCCCTATCTTTTATTTCCAATTTCATCCTATCCTTTCAGTTCTTGTGGCTACAACAAGGGATCCAACTGCAGAAAGAAAAGTAAACATGGAAATCTGTTGCACTTTTTTTTATATTTGCTTCAGATTTTCTGTTATTCGTTTTGTTTGAGTTTATTTTATTATTATTTCGATTGTTTTTTTTGAGGCTAGCGAAGCTATTTTGCAGCATTTTTCCAGCTCTACTAGCTTTTATTGCTGCTTTGAATCCTGTTGCTTTTAAAACCAAATAATTTTTATGGTTGATTTTCATCCCTAACCCTACCTTATTGGAATAAGCTTGAAGTGGGTGGCAATGGTGGGATACACGGCTTACAATAAGCACAGCACTCTTAAAAGAATTACTTTTTCCCCCTTCTAAACTTTTTTGTGCAGCCTGATGTTTATCATTTAAATCAACAGTGACTTCAATAATGTCTGTGGCAGGTCAGGAGCTGAGGACACATAGGGCCCTATCCAAGACCTCCTGAAATCAGCAGTTTGGATCAGACCCTAAAGAAATAAAATAGAGGAAAATTCTGGGTATAGTGTGAAGGAAAATATATATGAGTCAGAGAGAATGGTGCTTTGTTCAGCTGCAACTAGGAAGGGGTAGAGCAAAATTCGGACTGCTTTCTAATAGTCTTCCATCTGAAGGTATTTAACTGGGGTTGAAACCTTAAATCATCTTCAAATTAGGGCCTGGTTTGGACATCAGTCTCAAAGGTTAGTCAAACTCTATTTGCTACACGGGTAAAAATGCAGCATAATTTGATTGAATTTGGAGGAGTGAGCCCTGGATTTAGCCCACTTAGTGGAATCCGATCCATGCCCAAAGTCCTCCCTATACTTACTTATACATGTATAAATAAACATGCACATGTTTATCAGCATTGACGCATGCATGCCTCTCTATGGATGTGTATGCAAAAGCATTTCCAGGAAGGTGCATACAGATATATTTTTATAATGCTGCTAATCATATAGAAAGGAGATACATGTGTGCTGCAAAGAGCAATATAAGGCAAGGGTGCATTTATTCCCCTTCTCTGTTTCCCCTTCCTCCCACTGTTCTCCGTTTCCCTCTGCGGGGACTTCGGCGGACGGCTCTGCTTGAGCGGCGGTGCCGGAGGGCAACCGCCGGCGTACGCGCGTGCCTGTGCATCGTGGGGCCGGCGGCGCGTGGGTCTGGCCGTGGAGGTGTGAGCTAGGTGGGGAAGACGAAAGCGTGGCATGACTGCGTGTTGGGGAGGCAGGATTAGTGCCTCGGAGTGTCCTTGTGCGTTGCTTTGCAAGTGAGTCACTTCCCCAAGTTTTACATGAGTAGAGGATTTCTACCAAGATCATAAATCCAAGCTCTCTCATCGGACCCCGTATAAAACCAAAGCTCCTGCTTTCGGGGGCATGTGCATCTGTCCGCAAGACAGGGACGGGTTGGGACAACGCTACTCATTTCAAGTGTTGACATCTAGCAAGGAAATCAAAATATTTGTCCAGCCTTTGCTGCGGGATTTTGTTATTCATCCATCGAAACTATTGCTTTGTAAATCTTTTTTAAAGCTGTTAAACCTAAGCACAGATTGCTATCAGGAAAACGCCTGTTTGCCTGGTGCTGAGGTGCCTGCTCTCTCCATTAGATGGCATTGCTACTTTTGCAGTGCAAGCTGCAGAAAGTGGCTTCGTGCACTCGGGACCGGTCAGCTCATACTGCAGGGGCTTGTATTTGCATTGCAATTGAAAGCATATTTATCTTTTCAGCACTTGTTATATACTTATAGTACAATTTACTTTATCAACAGAGAGTTTAATAATTTTTATCGGGTGGGCTTCTGTATCAAAAATGAGAATTAAAACCCTCTCACCGTAAACTCCATGTACGTTGCATCTGCTTTTTTTTTTCAGTTAGAAACATTATAAAAATAATTGGTTATTATGTCGTACTCAAAAAAAACCCATAATTATCAGACATAATACATAACAGATAATATGTTATCATTTCCTGTTTTCCAAAGTTTCAAACACCTGACGATTCAGCCCTAACCGTGTGAGGTAGCTCGTGTGCTTGGGCAAATGAATTTCCTATGATTACAAAACGTGGCTATGCTGCGTGTTGTTCAAAGGCATGACACCACCATGAAAGAGACAGGTTTTTGAGTGTGCGCGGCACAAACAGTTCTTGATCCGAGGGATTACAGATGTTATTTTAAATAGTAAAAATAATTACAACTCCAAAAAAGAATGAGATATAAATCCATTAAAAATATATATTTTCTGCTCACATTAACATTCTGTCTGCGGGAGCTCTACTTTTACATGACATGCTAGCATGGTTTTAAACTTGAAAAATATCCTTAAATTTTGAAAAAAAAAAAAATCTATCAATTTTGTTTGCAAAGGCAGAGGCAGTTTTAGTCACAAAATAATTAGCCTAATTTAATTTACACTGCTGAAATTTCATTAACTAAATTAGAGCCAGTCCCTTATTTACAATGAGGTTAGTAAGAGCAGACTCAGTCTCACACTGTTCACTATTGTTTGTTTTGTTTTGTTTTTTTTCTCCTGACTTCTTGCTGTCATTTACTTTAAAGGGCAGACTTCATATTTTTACTTATTTAGGAAAAATTTTCTAAAGAACTAATTCTGCATTTTAATCTCAAGCCACTGTCTTTAAAGAAGAAGTTCCCAAGAAAGGATTTAAAGCATCCTGATTCACAGTGTAAGACCTAACTGTGTATTTTGTTAAAATTATGAACAGTAAGCGGCATTGGAAATGTTAGCTTGCTACATATGAGATAAAAAACCTGCCCTTACCAAGGGCTGAATAGATTTTAAAGTATTAGTTGTTTTTTTTTTTTAGCTAGGAGAATGATTTTTATTTTAAAGGACGAATTTTTTTCACAATACAAACAGTTGACCATTTTGTTTTCTTTTCTGGACCTTACTTTCACCAGATTAATTATCTGAGCAAATTTTAAAAGTCTGATTTGCTGGACTTCTTTTTTTTTTTTTAATAACCCATACTGCTCTCTTGTGCTCCTCACATGAAGGAATAGTCTGGCTATTTTGACAGCCGAAATTTTCATACACTTTTTTGATGCGGTGGCTAGGCAATAGCACTTTTATTTGAACGTGTGAGTCAGTGAAAATGAAAAGAAGTTTTAATTCTAGATACCTTAGATTTTTAGACGCCAGCAATGATAAATTGAGCGTTCGTGCCGCATATACGTTTTAAAATGTGAGCTGAGGAATGCTTTCCCCGGCAGCTTCGGAGAGAGCCCAAGCAGATGTGTGAAGCTCACCATCTAAATAGATATACCTGAGGACAAGTAGCTTTAAGGTCTGGGGAGCCCAATGGGAATGCACTAGTGCAGCTGTATGCCGTTTAAGTGCATTGATGACCAAGACGTTGTTTGTTGGTTCAAAGGTCATTTTTGCCCTTTGCAGATTCCAGGAGAGACCAGAACGTTACGTGGTTTCATTCCAGTAATTCATGTTGTATTATCTAAAGTTGTAGAAATGCAAAACCATTTTTTCCTTGTATCAGTTTGCAGCTAAAAACAGAAGGGCTGGAGCCAAGGAAGAGAGCGACAGCGCGACAAAACAAAACAAACAAAGCCAGAGCGAAGCGTGATTTCCAAATGGAGAATTTAAAGTCACAACAGTGGTTAGTTCTGCAGTATTAGCCATATTAGCAGGTTCTGCGCAAAGGCACAGTCACGTTATATCGCAGCCCATAGAGTTACATTCCAAGGTTTGTGTGACTTTTGCTTTCATTGTTTTTTTTCCTTTTCTTAAGGGGCATTTTCTCCTTTTTTTTTTTTTTTAAGTAACCTCTGTCACCCTACATAAAAGCTGCGTTCTAGTAAACTGGATTTTTTCCCCTGCACTCAGAGCACTAATAATGATATCATCATCATCACTAACTGAAACAAAGCAGGATTTCATTTTTGGGGCAGAGGGATAAGGCTTTTGGATCAGGGAGAATCAGAGACCAGAAGTAGGAGAAATTGGTGCATTTCCATGAAAAATCAATGAGGAGCTGCAGTGATTTCCTTCCCCCTCCCACCCCCGACCTCGAGGGGGAAGAAAACTGATATCAAAGTCAACAACCTTGGAGCTTATCCCTGCTCTGTGGAAATTTCAGCACACGTTACCTGCTTTTGACCTTTATCGGGGAGCAGAACCAGCAGTGCGCAAATCCTGGGGGAACGGCATGGCACCCAAATAGAGCTTGCACTTTAGTGCAGGAAAATTAAATGAAAGTAACTTAAATATGCGTTCCTATGACAGCTAGCAGCTGAAACAATCTGCTCTTGAGAAGCGCATATACAAACAGGCAATGTGTCGGTATGCATTAAAGCGTTTTCGCAACTTTATGTAGCGTTATAAGGCCCCGGCTTGGACTGTGGCTGAAACTCCTGGAAAGTCGGCAGAGCAAACAAACAAACAGAAAGGGGACGTGTCAGCTCTCGGGGGCCGGGTTTCCTTGCTGCCCTATTTGTCACCGAACGGCGTCTCCCCTAGTCTTTGGGGCACTTGCCGCGCTGCAAGCTGTTTGCTTTGCGCGTATGGGAACATGCACAGTGTTTAGGGGAATCGCACACCGTGGGCTGAGGTTTTGAAAGACTCAAATCGTGGTCTTAGGCAATGATGCGAGTCTAAATAAAAGCTTAAAAATCTCCAGGAGAAAATTCTGTGCGGTTCTTCTAGCTAGAATAAAATCATATTAATAATAATAAAAAAAACACAGAAGGGCCAAACGTTGCTGTAAGCAACCTGAGTGGAAATCACTCCGTAGCAATGACCACACAGGCCAGTGCTGAACAACAGGAATGTGGCTACCCTATAGTCTTGCCTTAAAAGCAGATGAGCAGACATAGATGCCCCGGGAGAATCCTACAGAAATAAACAAGGCTTTGCCTCTATTTAGGCTCCTGTCAGATCAGGGCTTTAGGGTGGCTTACTTTCCCATCACTACCAGTCCCTTTGAGGCATGTTCTTGCTGTCTTCATGGTTTTGTTAAAAAGAGATGCAAACCACAGACTGGCCATGCTGCTAACTTTACGTGCTTGAATAAGCTTCACCGCCAGCCTTGGGATCCGTTTCAATCCGGACGCCCCTGAAGCAGAAACGCATTCAGAGGCAAATCTCCGGGCTCCCACGTGTAGCCAATGTGAATATAGGGGGGAAGTATTAGCTGATGAATGAAAGCAAGGAAAGTATTTTTGCTCATGATTAAAAAAATAAATTAGTTTTAAAAGAACATATTATATTTATCCAGTTTTGAGTTTGGCTGAGGTTCGCTATAAAAATAGTGCTGTAATTTTTTAAGAAACATTTTCTGTTTGGATAGATTAACTGTACACGCAGGCACTTTAGCTTTTGATTCCTTTCAGCAATATAGTAATATTCATTGCTGGCATCAAAAGCTGCTCTTAATATAAACAGTTTGGGAAATCTTCGGTGCCAGGCAGATAAAAATCTCTTTGAAACGGAGGGCGGTGATGAGCCACTGTCAAAGCATGCGGTCCCCCCTCGGCCCTGCAGCCCCCCGAGCCGAGGAGGCTTTGCCTCTTCATATACTCAGGCATCTTTTCCCGTGTGCCTCTGCACGGGGCCCAGTGTAGAAAACCCTTTAGAGAACGATGTTACCACCGAGGCAGCCAGGGGTGTGTATGTACAGGGCAAAAACAACATGGGGAATTACAACTAGGCAGGATTTTCTGTCTTCCCCCCACAAAACATCTATTTTTTGTTCCTGCAGGAGCATCCTGCCTAGCCCCCCGCGTGAGTGCGGCACCTCTGCCCGGCGCACCTTTGCCTCTTTATCCCCTTTCCGCCTGGCGGCAAACAGTTTGCTGCCTTTTACGTGTGGGAAAAATCCCAGCCAAGCAACAGGCTGCGGGGAGGCGGCACGAGGGGTTTTCTCCGCATCCCTTCAGCGGCGGCCGTGGAAATCTCTCTTTGCACCCGTTCCCTCTGCTCGCCACGCTCACCGATATTGTCAGCCGCACAGTAATCTCTCTGACAGCCTGGGAAGCTTGTTTATAGCCAATATTCCCCTGTCTATTAAACCGGGGCCAGATCCACCTCATCTGAGGCAAATTGTCCCAGTTCTCTTCAAGTCCCGATCTACCTAAGCTGAGGCTGTGACCCTGAACGTCCGCTCTGCAGCAACCGCAAGACCAAAGACAGTAGCAGCAAAAATGAAAAAGGGAGGGAAAAAAGTGGAATACCCAAATAAGCGAGTCTTTCGCTCTGTTCTGGGTGTCAGAGGGCTACTCTGGAGGTGGGAACAAGCCGGGTCGAACTCGCTCATGCCACCCGTACGGATCGAGCCCCGCACAGCGCCTCCCAGCCCTCAGCGTCGGTGTGCTGAACACGAAGGGTTTTAAAACAAAATCCGAGGAAGTAACTGCCTTTGACCTATCCAGATACTGAAATTGCTGTGTCTGCAAATCACTTCTTCTTTGCCGTGAATTTTCAGTTACATTTCAGCCCGTTACTGGCTCAGCTTTTGCTGCTGATTATTTATGCCTTGCAACGCTCTTTTGTAAATCCTGCAATATTTCTGAGCTCTTAATTTAAGTCCTGTTAATGTCCTTTGCAAAAGTTATGTTGTTGGGTTTTTCATATTGCAATGTTTTTACTTGAGTGCATACATTGATAAAATGCCAACACGACCGTGAACGGGCCCAGAAAAATGAATGTTCAATTAAACAGCTCACTGCTCTTTTGACATCTTAATTTCTTCTGCTTTTTTACTTTTTTTAAAAGAGAATTAGTAGGAACTCTCTCTCTCATCAAATTCCAAGTTTCTGTGTAATTCAATTATGCCTGTCTACATCCTCTTACTATTTCTTTAGCTTTACTGAACTGATACATAAAGTTGTTTGTTCCCTTTCAGAGAAGACTCTGAATCACCCCAGAATTAGCTATATTTCTGTATGTTTGCATATGTCCAATAATATCACTTACACACCTTCAAAAATAAAAAGTTCTAACCTGATGTCGTTACATATTCTCAAATCACTATAATGATGTTCCATCTGTACAGATTGGCGATTCGTTACAGCAGCAGTGGTAATGATAATAAAAGAAAATATTAAGAATCAACATCTCTTTGGGCTAGCTTTCTCTGATGTGCTAGCCGTTAGTTTGCATCCACTTCTCCTAACTTGGGAGACAGAAATAACCTTGGGCCTGGGAGAAATGTATGTTTCGCATGAGGATGCAGGACAGGAAAGCCTTTTCTTTAAATCAAAAGTAGTTGGCTTCTGGAAGAGTTTTGAGGCAGAAACTCTGCAGCCGATGGGATATGCCAGTCCTTCCACCTGCCCACAGGCATAATTCATTGGGGTTTAGATCAAAACCAAAGTCCTTATTTTTAAAATTGTTCTAATCTGAGACGTACTGCAGCTCCGCAGGCTTTCCCGTGGGCTCTGGCCACCACGGGACCAGATGGGGTTTCCCAGCGGCTGGGGAGAGCCGCCCGTGGTGATGACCAGAGGATTTGGCACCAGGAGACTCCTCGTGTCTGTAGGGAGACCAGGGTGGCAGGGATAAGAGCAGGGCTTGTCCAGGGGATGAGTCTCTGACTGGGGGCACCAGATACCGTGGTTCAGGGGATATGTCCCGCCTGCTTCCTCAAACAGCTCCTCCTGCACCATGCACATCACCGGGACGGTTGGATCATGTCGTGGCTCGTCTACCTATGGGTTGGCAATGCTCAGATGGACGTACCCTTTTGGCTACCCCTTCTTGGCAAGGATTTTCACCCATTTTTCCTTCTGAGATATAGTTTGTCTTGCAGCTATTAAATTAGGATTCTCTTGTCCTACCTAATTCTTTTTTCCGTAAGCAGATGGGATATCTGTATGTCCACAAGGTCCTTTGTGTCCCAGGCACCCTCCGTACCATGTGTGCTAGGAACCATACGAAGTTGCTCTGACAGGTACAGCTGAGCACTGCCCCGCTCACGTAGCAGCTACGTCCAGCTCGGGTGGATGTCAGGGTCTGTGCAGCAACTGGCTAATTCTGAAATGCCAAACATATAGAGGAAATACCTTCCCCGAAGTTGTCCAGCTCCTGCTGTGAAGAAAGCCACTGAAATTCTTATTCTGCCAGTTGCCATATCCATCGATGCTGCTAGTGGTTGCTTGCTTGGCATTCAAAACTGGTGCAGCCTGGAAGCCCTGCTGCCAGACTGTGAACGCTGATGTGGTTTGTTTCTTTTTTTTTCACATAGCTTTGCTCAAAAATGATCACCAGCAAAGACGGGCATCAGGGCACCGTGCTCGACGCAACTGGAAGGTCGGGTTTCGCAGACCGCCTGAGCTGCACAGGTGGATCTGTATGTGGAAAGGTCACACCTAGCAACTTCTTAGGCCTCTGGTGTGAAAGATAAAGCCATCTGGTCACCATTTGACAGCTTAAATTGTAATTACACCATTTGGCCTATGAATTGCTGTGAGCCACTGTTTGAAGCTGCTGTGATTCAGCTATTCTAGCACTGAGATAGGAATCGAGTCATTACCCAGAAGCCGTGTTACTGGAATTCATCTGGTTTCATCTCTTTGGCCTGCTTTTTACCTTTCAAAATTTATCTCCGCGGATCTTCATTATGATTGTGAACTTGGCAGCGACTGTTTAGCATAAATAATCACAGTTGCCGATAACCAGTAACACCTGCTCGCCCATTACACGGAACAGGAGGAGAACCCGGGCATTTCCAGCCAAATTCCACCCGTGCAATATGGAAGTGTTTAAAGGAAGACCTGCACCACTCAGGGTAGCAGAGATCTGAACCTTTAAATTACAGCCATTCCCAGCCTGACGATAAGTAAATAAACAATTCACAGCTGCATGGGCTAAACACAGAAACACATCTATCTCTTCCAGGCGTGATTGCTGAGCAAGTAATTAAGTGCGAAATGTGAGCCCTCAATGTCAGTGTGAGATGATAAAGGTCTCTAGTTGTAAATTAACTGAAGTCCAGAGAGCCCTCGATATTAACTCTTCAGGAGCCCTTGGGTGGCAGTGGGTGCGTTACGGTGATGGTGTAGCATGAATCCAGTGCAATCTGCATGCACTTACTCCTGACGTTTGCCCCTGGGAATATGGAGTTGTTAGTTTAACAAATTAAAAAAACAAGTGAGGGAGTTGCTGTCTCTCTACTCTCCGAGCTAGCATAGGGTACCCCCTACCACGGGAGATGTAGGTTCATCTCCCGGTCTGCCACACTCTTCCGTCACATCCCCCTGCAGCAGTTTTCCATCTGGTGAGAGCAGAGGTGTCATGAGAATAAAATATATTAAAGAGTGTGAGCTGCTCAAGCACTAAGATAAAGGTGATAGTATAACTCAGATGAACAAATAGTCATCAAAGCCACAAAATGCCTACCTGGGTATGAGAAGAAGTACTTTGAGTACAAGGATCCAATGGACAACCATGATTGAAACCGCATCACTTTTTAAGCTATTTATTAATCAGGTTGTGAGTTGTTTGTTTCTTTGTTTGTTTTCCATGAAAGGACTAGTTGAAAAGGGAGCTTCATCAGTTCTTGCAATTTTACTTTGCATATTATGTGATGATTTTCTTAAGGGCTCTGCTCCCCTGTGAATATGATTGCACAAAAATGTCAGCGTTCACTTTCAGATGCATATCTCTAATTCTTTTAGTTTGTAATAAGAACTTTGAAAATGTGCACAGTGTCCAGTGTCAGCCCAAGAGACTGGAAACTACAAAAAAAAATAAAACGAACTCAAAGTAGATTTTTTAACTCATCATTTTTAAGCCATATGATAATTTTTGAGACCTGTACTCCAACTTTGAAACTACTGGGGTTGGCTGTACTTAATACAGTGTTGCTCATTAGATGATTCATGAGCTTAGAGAACTTAGTTGATGTGAGGGCTGGATTTGGCTTAGAGCCCTGACAATGAAGCAACGTGTAATTGTGCTGCCTGAGGGACAGCTCTATAAATCTGTACCTCTGAGTCACCAGACCCCAAAAGCCCATGGATGGTATGAGGCACCGAGTGTGTCTACCAGCTCCTCGCTGACTGACAAATGCATGAGGTGTGCCCGGTCCTGCCCTCCCTGTGGGGCAGCTCGCCGGGGGCAGTAGCAGAGCCTGTTCCTTGCCTCCAGCCTCGACGCTTGGTTTGGGCAAGCTCAGTCTAGCCACACTGCAATGTGGGAGAAGAAGCGGGGCAAGGGGAAATTTATGGCCATATTTGGCAATGCAGAGTTGTATTTCGGGCGAGACCTCTAAAAATAATATTTGAACTATGGCTCAACCCTGGACCATGGATTTGGCTGCTTTGCTTTGTGGTGGTGCAAAGTAGCCTGCAAGTCTCTGTAAAAAAACATTCCTCTAACAGGGATGACTTCTCAGGTGTGGCTAGCACTGCTGTGTCTTTGACATCGTCAGTGATGGTGGAGAGACTGTGGAGAAGGATAAGAGACAGGAAGGAGGACACGTGTGGGAAAGAGCATGCATTTTTACCTTAGCCTCCAGAGCCTCCAAATGCAGACAAAGGAACTCAGAATCATGACTGCGGTTACGCTGAGGTCCATTTTGGGCTCCAGACAGCTTAGGACCACAGTAAGAAGTGAATAAATGCAGGGTAACAAACAGAGCTAATTATGTAGGGTTCATGCAAGAGAGAATTTTTTATCTGCTGCACTGAGCACAGCAGTGACCCTGCAGAAAGCATCCCAAACTAAGCAAACAAGAGTTTAGGTTGTTACACATCTGCGTCTGTTTTAAGGATTTTAACTATTGGACAAAGCTTGCTAACCATGCCTTTTGCGCCGCAAGTATTCTGTCCTTTTATCTGAGGCTCTTCTACCTCTTTATTAGCTTTCCTTATGCAATCTTTTAGATCACATATTTTGGCTGAGTGTTGAAAGGAGCTGATGGAAGACTTTTTAGAGATGCCAAGTGTTTCAAGAAGAAGCAGGTGAATAGAAGTCAGTAGGTCTTTACATGAGGATCTGGAGCAGGATCTGCAGTAGGTAAAGGCAGCCAAATCACTTATTCAGTTTTTTAAGAGAATTTAGTGAGTTTATGAAGGGAATTATTTGACCTAGTACCTGCTGTAGAAGGAAATACATGAGCTGATTCAATAGCCCTTCCAGTCCTATGTCCTGCTCTCCTCCAACTGTGGAAGATAAAGAAACAAGCAGCTCATATGTGTCCGTCTGCCCTACTGTTTTTTTTTCCCTGTCTTGGTGCTTCAGGCCTATGTTGAGAAGATATCTGTGGAGACAGGGAATCATCCTAAAATCTATCTGTTTACACGGGTGAACTTTCCCCATCTTAGCCTCACTAGCATGCTGTCCTTTGAGTGCTCCTTCATGTCTGGCCTTTGATTGCTCTTCAGCCACAACCCAGGAGTCACATGCAGCCTGTGCTGTGGTGAAGTTTTGCAGGGGACCAAATGTGTTTATGGGTTCCCTGGGGAGGAGAGGGAAGCAGAGAGTGATGGACACCAGCACAATTGTACTTCAGCTTCTTTTTTGCCAAAGTGTGTGGTTTATTTGGGACTGGGCTCTTCATTGTGTATTTCTTCAGATTTTACTTGTGGTGTCTTGAAGTCCTTTTCTTTTCCCATTCTGAAGCAAGCTGGTTATATTTCACCACTTCACTTAAAGCCTTGGCAAGAACCATGCTCAGAAGGCTGCTGGGTTTTGCACTGGGACTCAGTATCGCAGCTGAAGAAGTCAGACCCTAAATCTCTGCATCATCTCGGCCATTGGGCACAACCCAGCCCAGATGGGCTGCTGCCAGCATCCCGGGGTGCCCCGGCCCAGCCAGCTCCTGGGAGTGCATCTCCCATAGTGCAAACAGCAGATCGGGACACCAGATAACCAAACTGCAGATATATTGATTAGCCAGAAGGGCTTTATCTTTCTTCTGTGCCAAAACGCCTAATGAGAAAACTTCTATTTGACACTACCTTTTTCTTTTTTTTTCTTTTTTTTTTCTTTTTTTTTTTTGGAGCTGAAGCCATATAGAAGAGTGGAGAAGGAAGGGCTT